TAATGATTACAAGTGGGAAACGGCCGGGTTAATATTCACAAATCTTAGGAGTTTTCAACATTTAAGACCATGCAGACATAACTCCTTCCCCTTTTCCCCCTTCCCAGCCCCAGGCTCATTTATTTATACAAATTATTTATAACTTGTTTTGGTATAAAATAAATTGTGAATAATACAAAAATGTACATGTACACAAAGTATAATGGCAGGTCTCTGAATGATTTTCATTTTCTAATTCTAGGAGGGTGGACTGACCCTAGGGGGTCCTGAATAAAATGTCAAGCAGATTATCACTAACACACTTTTGACGCAGGTCATATTGTAATCATTTCCAGTTTCAGGATGAGGATGACTTCAAGGGGTCATAACCTTTATACCATTTAATGTATAATGGCTCGAGGGACAATATTATATATGGTTAAGGGGAGAGTTTTCAACCATTTTCAAGATACAATGTATATGATCATTTGAAGTTTTAGGGGTTGGGAATGACCTCTGGGGGGTCATGACCCCATATATCCTATTTAGTGTGTTATAATACAAAGATGACTTAGGGGCTTTTGCTTTAATGAAAGCTATTTTATTGTTTCCAGTTCCAAAAATCGAGTGGAATGACCCCAGGGACTTGCCTCAATGTATAATTTGTATAACTGTGGCATTCCAATGATATCTGACCCTTTTCAAACTATAGGCACCTAACCATTTTCATTTCTGATTATTTTACCCCGTTCTAGTCGCCCGTGTGGTGCAGTGGTTAGAACGTCTGCTCTAGAGTCGTGGAGTAAGGAGTTGATCCTTAAGTTGCGGGTTCGAATCCACTGCGGGACGTGGAGACCAGTTCTTTGGATGAGACTGTATAAACCGAGGTCCTGTGTTGCAGTAGTTGTTGGCATGAAGAAAGATCCCTCACTGCTCAATAGCCCTAACTGTCGACCATATGTTAAAATTTGCAGCCCGTCTCCATATGAGTGTAAAATTCTAGAGAAGGACGTTAAACAACAAACAAACCCCGTTCTATACTAAACGTAATGTACTTACCGCCTGTTATAGGTACTGTTAACTTGATGGAATAATAAATCCATTTAAAACACACACTAAATATTAATAATCCCAGTGGTAATAATGATGTATATACACCATGTGCAAAACAATAATGATAACAGTAAAAGTAGTGCTCGCAGTGTGACGTAATTCCACGCATGAGTCTAGAAATTTTCCAAAAAGGTGTACATTTGTAAAATTTATATTTTAATTACATACAATTTTTTTTTCATAAGTTTGTGTTATCTATTCTAAATATGACAGGAAAACGGGTGAATCATTGGTGGGGGTTGATTTTTGACAAAGTTGATTGGGTCAAGATTTGGAAAGGGGTTCTCCGAGTCCTACCCAAATACTGATAAAAATTTGCACAAGTCATTTTGGCATCTAATTTTTTTTTAAGTTCATCAAAAAAGCTATGCACTAAAATAATAATATTTGTTGTTTTGACAATAAATTCAACAAGTTCCAATTATGGGTAGAAAATTAACCAACCCCCTTTTTTGTACACAAATCTTTCAAAAATTCTCTCTTTATCAGAATTTACATTATTAGGGAATATCAGACTGGTAATGAAATATTTAAATGTGCGGATATAGAGGGGGAGGGAGGGGGTCCGGAACCTATACACAAAATCTATATACGAAAGCAACTAAAACTAAGTGACCTTGGACCCCCACCCCCCTAGAAAACACGGACCCCTGTTAAGTTGGTATGAAAAGTTATACTTATGAAGCTTAAAAACTGAGCGGCCAACCCCCCCCCCCCCCCCCCCCCCACCATGAAATAGGTTTTCACATTTGGGAAAGGAGTTTAAGTGGGTTTTTGTTTTTTTTGTTTTTTGTTTTTTGTTTTTTTTTGCTTGTCAAGAAATTTCTGGGATGGATCCCCCTGGAAAAAATTCCTGGATCCGCACCTGATTTACATAAGAGGTCCATATGGTCTGCATGTTCACCTGAGCATTTTATGCTTGATTTAAATGTGTGCTTCTTCCCTGGTTACCAGAATTTGAAGGAGAGTAGTCAGAGCACATTTCAGGGACGTAGCAACATTTTTGAAAGTGGAGGGGGGGGGGGTAGCTAGAGAAAAAAATTTCAACTTACCTGAAAAAATTTGACAAGCCAAAAAAATTTTTCTTTCAAAACTTAAAAATCCTATTTCGCAGGGGGGGGGGGGGATTCCAACTTCTTTCAGTACCCCAATTTTATATATATACTACTACATTACCTTTATTTGACTATAATGCAACAAAAAAAGGGGGGGGGCAACCACCCGTTCATGAACATTTTCAATAGTAAAAGTAATGTTTCGAAAAAAGTGGGGGCGGGGGCGGGGGCAAGCCCCTTGATGCTACGTGCCTGCATTTAGAGGCAAACACATTAGTGCGGGTATTACTGTCTCATGACAGCATCTAGTTTAAAACTAGATGCTGTCATGAGACAGTAATACCCGCACTAAGGTGTTTGCCTCTAAATGCACACTCCTTCATATTGGGCTTACCAAGGGAAAAGTCAAAATAATTCTATAATTTACACAGTACATGTACATGTATTCGTCAATTTGAGCATAAAATGCTCAGGTGACCATGTGACCTATGAGCCTCTTATTGGTATTTCCTTTACTTAATTCATTACCAGTCTGAAATAACAGAATTTAATGATGTATTAGGTTTTGATAAAAGGGGGTATATAAATTTTTAGCCCATAATTGAACTTTTTAAATTTATTTTCTCAACAACAAATAATATTATTTTAGTAATAGCATTTTTGATGAATTTATCAAAATGTGCAAATTTTTTATTTAGTATTTGATTAGGCAAAAACCTCCTTGAAAAGCCATACCCAATCAATTTTGCCCCCCCCCCCAAACACACACACACACACAAATTGCTTGTTTTTGGAAATAGGCCTAGATGGCAAAGTTACGTTAAAACATCATTTGTTATGATAATTTAAAATCTGTGCTTGTACTGTACATGTATGTGAACACCTTTTTGAAAATTTCTACATCACATTGGGTTTGCGTCACCCTACTAGTACTAGTTTTACCATTATCATTGCACATGGTGCAGCGTGGTGTAAACATCATTTCGTGTATATCAGTAGGAATTATTAATTCATTTTGTGTTTTAATTGGATTATATTTCATGAAGTTAACAGGACCTATGACAGTCGGTAAGTACAAATCTAAGTATAGATTGGGGTAAAATAAACCGAAATGCAAATGGTTAGGTTAAAGTTTAAAAAGGATCAAAGATCATCAGATGCCACAGTAGACGAATTTCACATTATGAAGAGTTATCTCCCGTTGTCGACATTATATTCAGTTACATGCACAGATCCAGGAATTTTTTCCAGGAAAAAAAACAAAACAAACAAACAAACAAAATAAACACAATGATGGTGGGGTCCATGTTTACTTTTTCAACAAGCGCTCTGCTAGACTCGCCATGTATCCCATAATGGTTCCTTTCATTTTGCTATATTGAATATCACATCAAACATAAGAGATCTCAGTGTTTTAAGATATTTGACCGGGACCTTAGTACGAAACTAAATACACTGCCACCTAAAATGCGTAGAACAAAAATACGGGGGTGGATCCTGAAGTGTTTCATAAATTAAAGTCAAATCATGTAAAGTTAGAAGGTACAGGGAAAAAAAAAACGTGAATCTCATTTCATGATCACAAAAAGCATATTTTACAAGATGAATTAATTCTAAATAAAATTAAAATAAATTTGATGTTTGAAAAAGAAGATAAATATCTGAAAGGAAATTAATTAATCATAACAGAAGAAACAAATGACATCAAAGATATTTGAAGAAATTTTAGATAAAATGTATATCTTGTTTCTCCGATCACCAGAGAAGAAATTTTAGGCACTTCTGAATTTCTTGTTCTTGCCGATAAAGTTTATATCTTCTAGGTAAATGAGACAATGACTTTTAAACTTTCCAGAAAGTTTTTATGGGGTGTTTTGTAAAGTATTCTGAAATTTTAGGTTAATACGATGTCTGGTTTAGAGTTTAGAGAAAAAATCTACATCGCCATTGCGCAGAAAAAAAGGAGGAGGGGGGGGGGTGGAATGTAAAGAATGCTGATATATAAAACGAATATACATAACAGAAAACTTAGCTTACTAAAGAGCTTATTGTGTCATAAAGGTCAAAGGTCAAGGTCCTGTGAATTAAAAGGATGAAAGTAAGGTGTTTTTTTTCCCCCGGTTTTAATTAAATCAATGGTAAACAATAAAAGGCTTAGGGAGTAGTGTTGAAAAGCAGTTCAATTTTCGTTAAACAACGATAAAAGGTCTAGTTAAATTTAAGATAATTATATGTCAGTGATATCTTAATATAGTTTACTACCTAGTGTATTCTTAGAGGAGTAAGTATGAGCTCTGATGCAGGCATTTTAGAGTTTATTTGCAAAATTTTTTAAATTTATAAGTATAGATATGGACAACATAAATATCATTTTCAAGAAAATATCAAATATTTCTCACATTGGATGTGCCACCTATTCATATAATACTGCCTGGTTTTCTACAGTAATGGTCTTCTTATATGCAAACAACCTAGGGTAAGGATGGAGATTTAGTTAAAAGTGCATGCACACAGGGGAAAAAATCTTCACATCAGCAAGGCCATTTTAGTCACATTGATATTGAAGCATTCTCATGTGTGGATTCAAGTTTGTCGGTAGAGCCATAACATGGAGTCAAATTTTTTCATGGGAATATTAAAGAGAAAATTAATCTAAAAAATCTGTTGAATTAAACAGCAGAGCCAAGGTTACTTATAAGCATTGTGGTCCATGGGCCTCTTGTCTGTACATGTTGACCTGGATCATTATTAGAGAATGCATAGAAAACTGCAAATTTTTATTAATTTTTTAAAAATCTAACTTTTGATGATTGCAAAACATAATTTTCTAAAACATATTTTGTGTTTTGACAGGTTCCCTTGGAGCAGGTTACACATGTTGCCACCTCTGCTGTAAAATCACCTAACAATGCATTTGCCAGTCTCACTCAGAGCTTTAGTGACTTGCATGCTGGGTATTTATCAATCTTTTTTGGAAATCTTGAAACTTATTTTCTGAAGTACAGGAATATAGTAGAGGTGGGACGATATACCGATACACTGATACATACTAAAATTTTCTGCTAAGATGTGGTTTACAATACAAGCATTGAAATACAAAACGATACACGAACGACCTATCAAAATATTGAAAATGAAAGAAGTTGTCTTGGAAAATGGGGATGTGTAAATGAACTTTAAGAAGCGAAGAGATGAGATTGATATTGAAAACGTGCTTTAGCACTAATGAATCTTACTCTTCAGCAGTCAACTAATTACTGAGATAATAACATGTCCAACTTTCCTGAAAAAAATATATAATTAGCAAGCTTCATGAATAACGCATCTAAAAAATCAATCCTGTGTATACTTTCATTAATTATCATTCCGGGCACAAAAGTAAAAGGCTGCTCAATGAGAAGTTAAGTTTGTCCATGCAGTAGGTCACTTCTGCTGCAAAGGGGAGATCTTATCTGCGGCTTTAGAACTTTACATATATTAGACAATGTCCGCTGTGATTATCAGTCACACGCATATATTCGTAAACATAACAGCTAGACATTCCTTGTATTGCAACATGCATTTCAATGAAAATCTGATAATTACTCCAATTGTTATTGAATTACTAGAGCAAGCTCGTTGCAAAGCAACGAATAGGTCTTCCGTTGGAGCTGCGGAAGGAAGAAGTGACCTTGAGTCAATGTCATGCCACATTCTAAAGTTATACATGTAAGCAATCTTGTAAGGGGAAGCAACTTACAATATTTCGCTAGGAAAAACTGTAAAGGAATGTACGTGACCTTGAACATTCCAAATGACCTTGCATCAAGCCATGACACTCGCTCGTCATTAAACCCAATCTGTGTGTTACCGACTTGAAAAGTTCACAGTGACACATGTTCTTTTAGTCCATACATACAGTCAAAACATCTTATCCTTAGTGACCTTGAACTTGAGTCAAGGCCATGTCACACTCTGCATGATACCAGCAATGTTTTACAAGTAGAAATATGGTAGCGAAATTACAGTTTCTCTGTCAGTGACCTTGACTCGACCAAATGATCTTGCATCAAGGCCATAACACACACTGGTTAAGAGCAATCCCAATCTGTGGGTTTCTGAATGGATAAGTTCAGCCATGTTTGTTCAGATCGACCATACAACGAGTCGGAATAATTTGTTAGGTTCAACACAATGATTTAAAAATTCATTGAGAATATTTTATGTCCAGTATGGATAAGTAGTAAAATGTGGAGATCGGTCCTTTGGATGAGACCGTATAAGGTCTCGTGTCGGGGTAAATGCTAGCATGAAAAGAATCTGTCATGCTATAAATTTTTAATTTACCAGGTGGCAGTAAATAGAAAATTTAGAACATGACATGTAAATTTTGTATTTACTGCAAACCGGTAAGTTCAAAATTTACAACATGACAGATCCATGGCACTTGATTCTACCTCTAATTTTAAAAGGTTCGTGTTTGCACTGCTCCTGATTTGTATTGTTTGAATGGTCTTTTAAGCTTGAATGCTGCACAGGTGCTTGTGGACAGGACCCCCCCCCCCCCCCCATATACAACCTGGGTCCAAGAATATTTTTATTCGTCTTTTTCCATAAATTAATCTTCTAGTATACATTTACAATGTATTCCATATGAAAAATCCAAAAGATAATGTAGAATTAATTAATGTTTTATTAAAAAATCATACCCGAGGTATTATGAAATAGAGAAGGTAAGTCACTTCCATTTGTTAGCACTGGACCCCTCTTGCATATCGGGCCTAACATATCATGTACCTACTACATGTCACCAAAATATGTTATTATATCTTGTTTCGGTTGATATTTTTTGTCTTTAATTGTGCTATTTAATTGCCTAGGCATTCCACAATAATCAGAGTATTCATTGTCAGACATAAAAAATGTAAGATTTGGAAATGTCAAAGTAGAAAGTATTTGGAAGTGGTGCACCTAGCGGATAACTCTCGAGTTCCGAGTGTTACAGAATTAAGGGAAAAGCCAGAGGTCTACGAAAAAGTTCGGGAAAATTTTGATAAAGAAGTCAAAACGATTCATTAGAATTTAAATTTTGCTGCAGATTTTCCAGATGAGTTAGGGTAGTCATCAATATTCTTTACATTTCACCTGTGGAATGCTGATCATTTTCTCCGTATTCCATCCCTTACTGCTCAAAGGCCATAAGTATCATGTACATTATAAAAAGTATAAATTTTCAGCCATTCACCATTTATATCCTGTTAAATTTTAATTCCATCTATTTTGTTAACATTAAATATCTGGAAATATAGACAAAAATCCGGAGTGAAAATAATAAATGTTAGAAGTGAAATTTATTAATTGTCGGAAGTGCAATGCAAAATTCTGGAAATCAAATGCACCGAAAGTGGTGCCTCCCCCCACCCAAAGAAACTAATAGTACACACTTTGATGCTCAATTGACCACTCCAATGAACACATTAAATCGTTACATTTTTTTAAGTTTTATAAAATGAAAGACCTTAGAAAGTTTATAAAATAGAAAAGCTTAGTCAGATTGTTTTTCATTCATTTGACGATTTGCGAATAACAAATGTCGCGTATGATTATAGGTTTACATTAAAATAGGTTGTGGATTTCAACACCAGCCCTCACCTATATGACTGTATACGTACCTGAACAAACCAACCGATTGACATTTTCAGCTCTAAAGAAAAACATTGTATTCATGAGAGGAAATTTGATCACCTGTCAGTCCATTAAACATGAAAGATTATTTTGGAATATTTGTATACAACTGTGTGGCTTTCTTAGAACCAAATTAGTATTTATTAGAAAAATAATTATTTAGATGTTTCAGATTTGTTACATATTTGTAAGAACCACTATTTGCAAAACAAAGTTCCATCCTTTTATGGACGCCGTGATATATTTGATAGGCTGTTTAATTACTATTTAGATATATTGCCATTCAAAGGACTAACACATTTTTTTTTAATTTGGATAAAAAGTCCGAGAATTTTCAACCTCCTTTGCTATAATTTACCAAATCGGATCTTTTTTCTGTGTAGTCGAAATGCATGGACGAAGAATAAAAAACCGTATGCTGATCAATCAAAACACATCATTGCGATTGTGTATTTAATTTATGGAGACATGTTTTTTTCTGTTTTTCCATATCTGTGAATTACCCGTTTGCTTTGCACACAAGCATGTGTATTCTGAAAGCTCAGGATGTATTTAGTTTGGGCGCTCTTCCCTGTAAAACTGCATGTACTTACAAGCATGTATACCTAAAATCGTGTATTGGGATATTCTGTTTATTCGACGAAATAAAAGAAATGTATTAGTATATCATTCTGTACAATACAATTATAAGTTTGGTAGCAAATAATGCAAACTCAGAAGTGATTAATTTAATTTTCGATTTTCCCGAGAATTGAAAACGTCACCTCCACTTAAAATTATTGTGCATGTGTACATGCAGTATAAAACATGAGACAGAAAATAAATTGTTGCAAACCTAGTGGTTTAGTCGGCAATTAAAATGCATAAAACTTGAAATGAATAAATGCAAAGGCGGAAAAGATAATGATAAAAATAAGCGTGTGATAGAGTGAAATAAATAATTAATATGTAAGATTTGAAATGATTTCAAACACAATTTTCCATTAATCGCTATGAGTACACATTGCATTTTAACACCGATATGACCGCGGCTTGCTAATCTCTGCGGCCACATGTGAATGAGTGGGTTACAAAAGTTTTAACACAAAGAGACAGAGCAGAATGTAAACTGTGTGCTGTAAGAAGGCGTGAATTATTGTATGTTTAAAAGTATTATTTTATGTATATAGTTTATTTAATATTCAATGAAAAATTAAATGAAGAAACAAGAGACTGATAGTAAAAATTATACTTTGCACAAGTATTAATACTTAATACTTCCATCACTAATTGCAATTATTTGCAGTAGCACCTTTTCAATTACAATTGAAATAGAATACAATAACACGTGATAGAGAAATAAATTGTATGTTTTTTTTTTTAAAAATCGTATTGTTGTGTCGACAGTGAAGAGGCCGGTGAAAGCGATTAAAATTCGTAATGATTATATGCACTAGTGTTTGGAATTAAGATTAAATCAAAGATGAGATTAAGTTATCTTAAAGATTCGATATAAATAGGAAAAAACATAATGTTTCATTAATCGTTGTTTCTACACAATGGATTTGTCTTCACAGATGTTTGTTTAGTTTATATGGTTTTTGACCGCAGGTGGCTGGTACACTGGTGACCTCGGCAACGTGGGATCGCAGGTTGTGTTACATAACTATAAACATCAAGGTGAACATGGAGAATGTAAAATGCGTACAGTTAATGATCATTAATTAATCGATGCTTAAAGTTTAGTATTACTTATATAGTTATATAGATACATTTAATTCCTTCCTTTATTTGAAGACGTGTTCCCTTTAAAACTAAATTAAAAAGAAAAGAAACTTGTAAAAAATAATTTATGAGTGAACCACAGAACATGTTTGAAACCTTATTTAGAAGAAAATTAGCATTAAATACAGTAGGGTATATAATTTATAGCAAGTTTGTTTAAGTTTTACACATGAAGAGTTCTGATTTACTTGCCAAATGAAAACGCTTACCTGTTTATGGGACCTGCTTTTCACCTACATATTACGACATATTACGCAATACTTGAACAAAACAACATTTGTATGAGATCAATAAGGTGTTAAAGAACAACTTTAATTCCGAAAGCCATATCGAAATATTTACCGTTTTTGAGTTATAAAGTGAAAACTTTCAAGGGCTCTAGATCCCTAATTTTAGGGGCCAGCCCCTTTTAAATGATATCAAATAAAAGCTCTTGCAATTATGCACAACTTTTATTCTACATTTTTTAACAAAATATTTTTAGTTTTAAAGATATAAAGGAAAATATATCAAAATTTTTGCTCTT